TGTGTGTGTGTGTGTGTGTGTGTGTGTGTGTGTGTGTGTGTGTGTGTGTGTGTATGGTTGTGTATTTAGTGTCCATCAGTATTTTTATTACGCGGGGTATTACAGTGTGTGTGTTATATCAATGAGTATATTTGTGCATGGGTGTGTGTTATGAGTGACCATGTCAGAGTGAGAATGTAAACTCGTGTATCAATATGTTAAGTTTCTTACTGCACATTGTGTGGGTATGTGTGTGTGTGTGTGTGTGGGTGGGGGGTAATGTTACTGCACATTGTGTGGGTATGTGTGTGTGTGTGTGTGGGGGGGGGTAATGTCAATGTCTTATCAATATGTTAATATGTTTAACTGCACATTGGAGACTGGTGAAACACAATTTCAACTTCTGTGCTAACCCTGTTACACAGATTTTGACACTAAAGTAAACTTGAACTTGAATTTGAACTTAAGGCAAATATCCATTAATTTGCACATATTGTATGCATTCTCTGAATTGGTTTTATTTTGTGTAATCCTTAGAAAAGACTGAAGCATAAGTTATAATAAACTAAATAATTAATTTCCTGTGAAAATCCAGTGTGAATACAACAGGCTTACAGATTTTTGCAGGAAAAAAATGTGATTTGTTGTGAAATAGCCCAAAAACTCTGACATTAGCATTAGTAGCTGAAAAGCTGAAATAAAGAAAAATAAAACAAGAATTAATAGCATATGTTTGTTAAATTAAGTGGTAAAATGCCAAAAAAGATGAAAATATACAAGCTATTAGCTAAATAGCTAAAATTGCAGATAACAGCTGAAATTATCAGACAACAGCTGGAAGAAGCATAAAAACCTAAATAGCAGAATGATACTGACAGAAGTAAAAAAAAATGTTTAAAATAGCAGAAATTGCTGAAAAGAGTAGAACTATAGCTGAAAAGCAGAAACAAAATAGCAAAAAAATAAATAAAAAATAAAAAACTAAATAAAGCTTAAATCAGCACAAAGAAGTTTAAAAAGCAAGACCAACACAAAATATGAAAAGTGCAGTAAAAGATTTATAACTCCTTTGAAGATGTTGAATACAGTTCATTTGTTTTCAATGAGTAAAAATTGGCTGAAAAAGCCCAAAAATATCTCAAAAAGTATAAAATTACTAAAATACTAAAATTCAGAGCCTGAATGTCCTGATGGAGCAAAATATTTTGATGTAGAAATTATTAAAACAGCGCAAAAAATGTGGAATGAAATATGAGCCAAAAATATACCGAAGAAAAATAGATTATCACAACTTAATTGCTTTACTTGTTTAACTGTCACTTTTCTTTCCCCTTACCAATGTTTCAACCTCAGTGACAATGTATTTTTGTTTTTTACCTTTTTTTTATCCTCCAGGTGTTCCAGGCGCCCCTGGCTATGGCAAAATGGGACCCCCTGGTCCTGTTGGCCAGCAAGGTGTTCCTGGAATTCCAGGCCCTCCTGGACCTCCTGGAACGAAAGGAACCAATGGTCGGTGTAATCCTTCAGACTGTATGAGCCACCAAGTGGAATACAGCCCCAAAGGTCCACCTATGAAAGGCCCCTGGTAAAGGGTTGCAAAGGAAATGATGGTCAAGGGTTTGGGCCCACAGCAAAAAGACTACAGTTTATGGAGAAGCCAGAATGATGACCTGATTATATTTAATCTGACCTGAGATTGAATAAAAAAAAAAACAGAGATTACCTTTCTTGTTGCGCAGACAAAGAGATTTGTCAACTGATTTCTACCAAAGATCTGAGAAAAAGGTCTTGCTGGAACTGAGGCTTGTAAAAACATACAGGAAGCCACTTTTCATTTCATCGTTTTCTTTCTGCTTGAATGTCCATTCATTTTTACATATTGTGGTCTGTAATTTGTTTCAAGACACTTTTCACATTATAGTTTATTCAAGTAACCTAAGCTAGTAACTAAATGTATTTTTTAGGTTGTTTATCATTGATCTGTTTTGTTCATTGATTAGATTTTTTAAGTGATCATTGGAATTTCTTTTTGTTTAAACCTACAAAAAGAGAAAACAGACTGTTTTTGCAGAGTTTTGCCTCCATGCCTCCTATCTTTGTTGCTCCTTCTTCAAACAATTCCATTCTGAGTACAACCTATGCATTTCTAATCATCTTGGTGGCTGAGGTTTGACTGACAACTATTTGAGTTTATCTTGTAAAAAAAAAAGAAAGAAAGAAAAGAAAATCTCTAGAAACATATTTCCTTTCAGTTGAAACAGATGTCATTTTGCATTCATGCCCTCCTTGATGGATTGCTTGTTTTGTACATATTTATATGTATATATATTGGCATTTTATACTTTTAGAAGTTTTTGATATTGGGCCAACTAATCATTTTCTACTTTTTTTTAAAAATGCTAGTAGTTATTTCTGCAACAAATGATAAAGAATTTTATAATCTAAAGTTTATAAGCTTTTATAACAGAAGCACATGGTCAGTAAAAGCCAAATTATTTATTGAAGAAAATTGCCCTTATACAGGAAATAGGCTGGCTTTTGTGTTTGTTCTTTAGACTCCAATACATTTGGAAATGAAACCATTTATAGATTCTCATCTCATTTCCAAACTAGTTGTAGTGACCACCTGTTTGCTCTACTTACCTCTTGTGGAAGAATGTCTCTTTTTAATGGACAAATTTGAAGTCCGTTCATTACAGGTACTGTAAAGCACAACCACTGATCACAGCCGCCTGGGCCTCACAATCACAACACTAATCAAGACAATATTCTGAAACATCACAACTTTGGAATGTTACATTTTACTGCATTCAGTTTTTTTCCTTTGTCATTTGAACATTTTAATTTTATATTTCAACTCATTTAGTTGCTTTTTCCTTTTTGTCTCTGGCTTTTGAACGATGTTAGTCAAACTTTTACAAAAAAAGCAAACTCTATGGAAATGTTAAACTGAATTAAAGAAGCTTTTAATAGTGGCTGTGCCTCTTGTGTTTTTTTTTCCTTAATACAATTAGCATTTTAATCTGTGTTGTGTCAGCCAGTCTCCAGATGCTTCTCAGAGCATAAATTAATTAGACACTAGGTGACTGGACACACAACTTAAAGGCCAAACACCTTTTTTTTTTTTAGGGGACCACACGCAGAAAGCCTTAGCTGATTTACTTTGTAGTTACTTTATGGTATGTGTGGTATTTCATTTCTTTCTTGTGATAACTACTGTGTTGCTTTGAATAGAATAGAATAGAATAGAATAGAATAGAATAGAATAGAATAGAATAGAATAGAATAGAATAGAATGCCTTCAATGTCATTACACGGGTGTAAAACAAGATTAGAGCCACTCCCACAGCAGTGCAAATACAGATTAAAAGAAATAAAAATAATAAGAATAAAATGTGCTAAAACATGCCCATATACA